ATATATATATATATATATATATATATATATATAGGCCTATATATATATATTCATTTAATCTCAACACATACATAAAGGTATGTATGTATTTATTTAATGTATGTATGTTAGTATGCAGGCCTATGTATAAATCATATGTTGTGTGTGAGTAGGTGGTACGCCTTACCGATGAACATGAGTTCAGAAGAGTAACCAAATGCACAGAATATTACAAAGATCCCAGATGATGCTATCCCCAGTAAAGATAAGTACAGGTCAGGAATAGTGCCAAAAAACACGAGTAGCGGTCCTGGGGATACGAAAAAACAGAATAAATTATTGAGGACGCTTAATTTATTTATTAAATATTATTGTTACTGTCCTTGTCATTATTAAATATTATTATATAAATTCCATGGCGATTAAAATTTTTAGATTAAATTACAATTATTCTGTTTGAAAGAATATATTATAAATATAATATTTCTAATAATTATAAAATATACCGATATCCGTCATATTAGAATATTTAAATACAATTTACTAACCTATGCTCCCCAGTCCAAAAAGTAAAGCCAGGAAACAACCAACTCTCTCACTTTCCCAACAAAGTGGGTATGAAACAATGTACAAAATAGCAAGAACGACAGACGATCGAATTATGCTCCAGTGAGCACACAAAACCAGACATATTAAGGCAAGTTCGCGATTTTCTGTTGTAGAATTTTCTTTAATAAGTAACTTTATTTTTCGGAAAATGTCACGACCGGTCGTATCACTGGCATTAGGTGGTATATGCTTGATATATGCTGCGGTGTACACAGTCAATGCAGTACTAACCAATGTGACTATAATAAACGATGTGGTAAAATTATATTCACTGATCGCGTAACCGACGAGTAACTGCGCAGATCCCATTGAGAGCTGAGAAAGTGCGCCAGTGACGGCTAGGCGTTTAGTTAGATGATACGCATCAAATAAAAGCGATAAGTAGGCCGTGGCAAGAGCTTGAGCACCTGCAACCCCTCCTCCAAGTCCTTGGACAAACTGCGCAACAACCAACCACCAATACGAGGTTTGAAGGCTTACCGAGATCAACCAAATACAGCATGAAACAAGCAAGGATATTAGGTTTATCACCAATCCCCATTTATATCCTATGTGTAGTGAGAATTGACTTATTATTGGAACTGTAAAGAAACTTGTCAGACTACTAGAGACTACAAATCCAAGGACGATAAAGTTGACACGCATCTGGATGTCATATTCCTCGGATGAAGATTCGTTGGCACAGGTTTCAGGCTCCAAGGTATCGGAATCAAGTCTTTCGATATAATCGACGTATTGCACCTGAATTGTAGATATTACGGAGTAAATAAACGCGTAAAGTATAACGCAGACTTCAGCACTGATAAATGGCGGTAAGACGCCTTTTTGTTTTGGTAGTGAACGAATTCCATTACTGGTAAACGGCTCTACAGACCATTCTCGCTTCGAAGAGGTTTTCTTGGTATCTGCTGGAATTGATCCGTACGTACTCATGTTCCTCAAAACGCTAACTGTATGCCTAATACCATACAGTACTTGGAAAACAAATTACATTTCTCGACTACCCTGCTTTTTATAAATGAATTCTCGATCCGTTCGTTGAATTAAACATGCTTATATTCTGTGTGTTTATGCGGGCACGATGTTAAAAGTACTATGCTATGTGTGCACCTCGCATAAGCCTGTCTGTCAGTAATTAAATTCGGGATTAGTTGTCTAGTGTTGTTGTAGTTAAAATTGAACTATATTTTTATTATTAAATAATAATAATAATAATAATATTTATAAAGCGCACATAAGTGCATTACATCGTTTTACCTGTCATCTAACCTATTCAACATTTTCTATAATACATTATAAAGGCCTAACTTATAATTATGTAAATCATGAAATTAATGACGGGAGTACGAATGTTATGTTAGTATGAAACATTTTGATTTTTTAGCTTGCAAATTAACAATTTAATACAAATTGTTATTTGTGGTTTCAAACACATAAAAAGATTGTCATACGCACGGGTTTTTTTTCAGTATGCAGGCTATTTATTCATGTTGATACCACTAATTCATTATACTCTAATTCTATATCGCAATCATTATTTTATATTCTATAAACGTCAAACACAAAATTCTAAATTTTCAATTTTTTATTTCGTGATGATTGTTTTCCTTTAAGCAGTTGAATGATTAAACTCGTACTACTGGTGGTTCTCTTCATAATTGTTTAACTTCTTTGGTTTAAGGGTCACTTCATTCCAAATGTTATACACCTGTATTGGTAAAAATAAAATGGATTTATTTTAGGCGATTAAAACTTGAATAACCAGATTTTTTTACATATTAAATGTTAATTTCACCATTCTGTTGCATTAAATAACCATTCGATTTATTAAGGGATAAATTACACAGTCGATTGCTTCTCCTGTTCTCAATTTTGCGTAGGCATAATTGACTATTTAAATATGCACACTTAACTGTTCAATGGATTAGTTTGTTATGTATTAAATTTTAAGAACATCCTACTCTTTCAATTAATTTTCAATTCAATGTATTTCACTATCAATCATAAACATTAATAATGGTATGAATTCAAAAACATTATATAGACACAGCGCCTATGAGATGGCCAAATGATTCACCTAAATTGAATAACAATAATAATGATGCATTGAATGGCAAGAGAAACACTAGAAGCAAAGGTTGTCTAAAATATGATTCGTTCGCGAGATTTATCTACAATGGTAAAATATAATCATAGTGGTAACATAATAACATTAAATCGAAAATAATCAACCTCTTTAACACATTGACTTCAATCATTCTTATCTTGGCTTATATTATATTTGTAGTATCTTTAAGGGGCTTTTCAAGTTTACTATGTTTAGTAACCAGAGTTTAGGACCTTATCGTAAGGTAAAATGATGGAAAATGAATAAAATTCAGAGTTTAGTTAAAATCCCTGGGCTATCAAAACCGGTATTTGCTTCTTCTTTAGATAATACGTACATTCTCAAAGATCAAGACAAAATAGACACCCCTCCCACAACCTTCAATATGGCATACTCAAGAAAAATCGGATCAAAATGAGTGATCAGAATGAATATATACATATGTGTATATATATATATATATACTGTTGATTACTGCACTATATACAAAATGATCTTTTGTCTGAGGACTGTTTTTACAATCCTATGTGTGTGTGGGTGCCTATATATAT